ACAGGCTGCAATGCCACCATTTCCCTTCCTCTCACCGCCCTAGGCCCCGGAAAATGGCCCGAAGCCGTGAGTACCCTCCCTGGCGAACCCGCTGGCCACATTCGTATCGCCGTGAACACGGAATGGAGCATCCGCGGTACGGCTCCACCCCTACGCGAACTGGGCTTCATCACAGCATGGGACACAGCCCTTGACGAAGCCCTCGTCGGACCGGGCGAGATTGCTGGCTTCCAGCCCCTGGAATACATGACGGCCGGCCGCTATCTCGGCGAGCTGGGTCGCCTCGTTCTAGTTGACTACCTCCGTACCGTTCTTGGCTTCGACGAATCCTCATTACCAGAAGGCTTGCTCACGAGGTACGCGCTGACGACGACGTTCCTGAGCCACTTTAAACCTGCCGATGACAATCCTTCCGACCCGTCCCCTCTACAGTCGATGCTGGAAAAGCAGTTCCCAGTAGGAGAGATAGAAGCAGGAACGGGACCATCCACCCCCTTCCAATGGACACCAACAATCGCGGCAGCCCTCTACCACATCGCAAAAGCAATCGAGATCCGTGCCGCAGGCATCGTCGCAGCCGCCACCTTCGCCCTCTTAAAACTCGCAGAAGACGTACCACCTCCTGTCCCAAAGGGCCACCACCATCATCATCAAGACGAAAACCACCAACACGATCACCACCACCAGCAGCGGAAGCAAGGCATTCCTCCTAGTATGGAGCTAGGTGTCGGTTACACGGGTGGCTGCATCTCCCATTTCCAAGATTACCTCGCCGACACACAAGACTTTTTGGACAAGATCGTGAAGCTAGAATACTCTGCGGGCGGGCCGGAATCACAGTCGCCTCTGCCGGTGAGAATCGTCCTGAGCCCTTGCCATGACGGCGGGATCAAGGGCGCCGGAATCCTCGTGGCCGCCACGAGGAAAACGTTTCGGCAAGAAACATAGTATGTTGAGAAGGGAAATGACATAAAGACTTGGCTCCAGTCGTGTGAACGAGAGGTTATCTGCCCGCCTCAATTACCTGCTGTACCATGAGGTATAATCATCTTGAGAAGGAACAAGAGAACTGAGAGATGGGATGAGGCATATCGGGAGTGCCTTTCACGTATGGATGACGAATACGCACTTACTCTACGGAGTAGAGTATGGAATGATACATCAATAGACTGGCATACAGGGCACGAACTCAACAAGCAGACATCATCATGATGCAAGAAACCTTTCGATTGACTCGGCAGATCAGCTAGACACTGCTGCTGCTGCTGCTGCTGTACCCGAGACGGTTGACTCGAGGCCCGTCCTCTTCTCCGTACTATTAAAGACAGTAAAATAAAATGTGATTCCCTCGCCTTGTGCTTCACAGTAAACCCAACTCTCTCGCCATCTCTTTCTCTTTCCAGAAAGAATCCCTCCTCAGTTCAAATATGTACGACGCAAGCGACCTCCTATGCAATTCGAGCGATGGTGAAGAAGCAGACGCTATGCTATGCATGTTGTTTTTTGATATCATCGGCGGCAAATCTTTTGACCCTCTTCTGTCCACGTGCGTACCAACCCCCCCTCCCCCCGCGCCCCCGTTTTGGTTCTCGTTGCCTCCCAGTCAATGCTCCTCTTATCCCCAGGTGAGGCCGTTTCATTCATTAAAATAAAGAAAACAGAAATATGCCTTTTGTAAATGGGTTGCAATATCCGATGATGGCGTCTAGCCACGCATCGCCCTCGTAGATCGATAGTTCAGCCGAGGCGGCAGGGTGATTTCCATGTCGTCAATGCCCTCGTCGTTGTCGGCCTCAATCGGCCCATCGTCTGCCTCAAGTGGCTTCGACATGTCCACCTCGATCGTCTTAGCAACTGGAGTCTTGGTATCGGCCTCAATCTTTGCATCAACCTCGAGCTTCCTAGGTGTGATGGGTGGGTTGCTGTCCTTGGCGGCCGTGAGCTCCCGCCGCATGCTCGTTGGTCGAAGAGTCCGCACCTTGTTCGCCTCACTGGCCGCCTTCAGCAGCTCGGGCTCCTCTTTCTGGACTCGCTCCATCTCCTTCAGGGCTAGCTCCTTTGTCTCCGCCAACCGACGTTGAATGTTGCCAACTTCTTCTGAACACTCTCCATCACGCAGGAACTGGTGTGCCGCGTGCTCGCACTGATTTTGCACGTATTCAAGACACTTGTCCAGCTCGTCGTAGGCATCCGGGCCCCCATCACCCATCATTGCACCACCACCGCCGGCCTGTCCGGCTCTCGTAAATGAAGGACCCCTCCGACCGCCGGGTCCCATCCGCCTTGTGCTCATGTACCGCAAGGACGGCAGCGCGTCGGAGGCACTGGTATTGGTATCTGGCTGGAGATCGCCAGCCTTATCGCCGTCTTCGTCTTCGGGTAGTTCTTGTTCCGCCAAGCGACGAATCTGTGCCACCTTTGCTGCCATCTTGGCCTTGCGCATCAGGTTGCGGCTAGCTGACACAAATTTGACTAGCTCTTCAAAAAAGAGCTGCACATAGCTGTCGTAGTAGACCATAACCAGTTTTCGTGATCGGTACTTGATCGGCGCGCCTTCCTCAACTGAAAGGACGGAATTCGGTCGGGGTCTCTTCTCTACTATAGCACGAGCTCGAGCTTGTGCCAGGGCCATTGCTTGCTCGGTTTGTTTCTTGAGGGCAGATGGCGTGCCGCTGCTTGGGCTAGAGGGCTGATCGTTGCTTTTCGGTTCATCTTGGGGAGGTGTCTTGGCGCCAGTGGCTCGTTGAGCGTCGGCCTTTTCGGCATTCAATTCGTCGTCGGTTGGAGGGATAGCATTGGCGGGTTCGTCCTTTGGCTTGAGTGATTCGGTTGAGCCGCGGTTCTTGATTGATCGCGACGAGCTGTCTGCACCAAGGGCAGCGAGCTCAACTTGACGTTGGTCTATTTGGTCCCCAAGCTCGTCGAGACGATTGAGCCAATCGGGGACATTGTTGGCGATGTTCTTGAGGGCGTCCATGACCAAGTCTTGGTCTTCGTTCTTTTGTGAGCTGGCCGTGATTGCTACAGCGAGTACTAGGCGTTGAGTGTTTGGGGACCCTCAACGTCTAGTTGTAGAAAGTGTGGCAGGTTTGAATCGGGATGCTGTCCAGCAATGGAACGTAGCAGCGAATGAAGCAGGTTTTGAGGGGATTCTTTGGTGGATTCTGGGGCGATGATCGGCGTTGCAGAGTCGTCGACAGGGAATGGTGGGAAGAGAGGAAGAGATCGACGCGCTTATGGGTGAAGCATGGTCCGCCAGCAAGCGTCGGCGTATCTAGAGATCCTTCTCTCGCGCGAGTGTGGTGGTGCGACAATCTCCAAAGTCGGTAGATGCTCAATAGTCGATGATTCCTACAGCAGGCGATGCTAGAGCAAAGAGTAAAAAAGAAGCCTTGCGCTTGGACTTGGGCGGCAATCAGAATCGAGGCTAGCGGCGGTCTCGTGCCGGCAAAGACGTAGCAAAAGTGAGTCGGGCAGAAAGTGACAGACAGTAAAATAGGTGGTGAGGAATGCTGTGCTAAAGGCGTCGGTAGAAAAGGAGCCGTAATTGGACGAGTGTGATCGGCAACTAGAAGCAGAGGCGAGATCTGCACGGGAAGCGTCCAAGCCTCGGATTGATGGGAAATGTGGACGAGGGTGGAAAAGGATAGGTGAGATATAAAGTAAGGTATGTGGATGATGAAGGATGATGGATTGGTGGATGGATAGACAGGTAATAAGCGTCGGTAAGGAAGATAGTTTGGGGGGGACAGAGGCTAAGGTATGGGTATCCGTACTACAAGCCTACGAGGATCAGAAGAGAGTTAGGTCGGTGTCGCTCATGTGTGAAATGCGGCCAAGTGGATGGATGTACCGTTTCTATGCCTTCGTATGCTTGGCGGCCAGGTATGGGGGTCAAGGACTCAATGGCACTAACAGAAGCCGCTAGCGCTGGGAGGGGAAAGGTGAAGAGGAGAATTTCGGCGGCGGCTTGTTTGTCGAGGTGAGGCGGCTTGATGCTACTCTGGAGTCTGAAGGGGGGAAGTCGGCAGGGGGGAAGACTCGTAGTGTTTTCGATCTCAACGGCTGGATCGAGGGTCTCAAACAAAGACTACCGTGTATCTGTGAGGTATGGCGCGGATGTTGTGCCGTATGGAGGTTTGTGGCGAGGTTTGTAGGCAGATGATTCTGCAAGAAGACAGTGGCACAGATGTGTATCTGCTTCGGAAGATGCTTCGGAAGATGGTGGAGAGGGGGACACCCAAAGGCTACGTTATGATGCACAAAGAACAGAGAAAGACGAGACAAGATGGAAGAGGGAGCATCAATTATGAGGAAGAGAGGGAACCCCGAGTTGTGCGATGTGAATGAAGGATGGTGGGGTGGCAGGGCGGGAAACGGGGGAACCCAGGGACTTTGTTCAACAGCTCAGGAGGAGATTGGAGAGGGGAGAGAAAGAGCGGTAGAGAAGGCAGCCGTCAAATAGAGAGAGGTACGATTATTCGTCTGTTTCTCTCTGTGTAAGGTTTGCTGTGTGTGTTGTGTATACTGTACTTGTTATGTGTGCCAGAATGCGTGTGTTTAGTAGGTGTGTGTACGGAGTATGCGAGAGCGATGCAGAGAGGATGCAAAGCAAATGCAGCCAGTGCAAAAAAGCAGGAGAAGAGGAGGAGGGGAGGAGAGGACCTGAGATGGAACCAGAGTCTTGAGGTACGTACTGCCAACGTGGAGTCCCATCGTTAGAGAGCAGGGGGGAGGGGTGGATGAGGAGAAGGGACGGACGAGGGCAAGGAAGGACCACCGCTGCATCGCATCGGCCTGGAGACTGGAGACGGAAGAGAGCGAGTGAGGAGGTGGCAGGCCGGGCAAGGGCCAAGAGGACATACGGACACTCCACACCAGGGGCGTGGTGTCAGCAAATCAGCGGTACGTACGGAGTACCCATACCCGTACCTTCTTTCCGCAAGACAGGGGGATCTCACGGGGGTACTGTTGTCGCTGTGAGGAAGAAGGAGCCATGGATGAAGGATGATAGAAATGGGAAGGGGACAACGGACGGGAAGGGGAGGAGAAGGGAAGGGAAGGGAAGGAATGGTGGAAGGATGGATAGAAGGAAAGAAGCGCACAACTTACCTACCTACCTACCTATAGGTACCTACCTTAGGGAAGAAACCGGACGGTACGTACTCTGTGAGTCTGTACCGCAGACTGGAAACACCTCACCTCCAGGTCACACCCACCACCACCACCACCACCTGCTGCCTCAGCATCTCAAAATCAAGATGGAAGGAACGGACACGGAGTATTCTGCAGTACGTACCCACGAACGGTGTAAGGCAAGGTACGTACGGAGTATTCCATCTTCATCTCGTCTCATTGGATTCGTCAACGTCAACGTCCACCCTCCCTTCTCTTTGCCTCGCTTTCGAATAATCAGATTCCAATACAATACGACCTACAAAGTTGAAGTGCTTCGGCTTTGGCTTCAAAAAAGACGGATGCCGGGGTTCGGATGTACCTTCCAATCTCTCGGCTCTGGCATCTCACACTCCCGTCTACATACACTTGATAGACGCTTCACGCTTGATCTTATGATCGTTTCGAACGCACTCAGTCACCCACACTGTCCACACATGCAAGGGAGAATCGGAAATCTCCATTCTCGGTCACAACAAAAACAGGACCCTGGACATCCATGTCCATCTCCTTCTCCATGTCTGCCAGCGGATAATACTGGACGACGACTTGACACGGGGGAATGGCGGCTCATCGTCTTTTGAAGCCCGCCTCGTCTCCATAGTACATGGCACTATGAATACTAGCGACTCCATCCACCTGCAGGCCGCACGCCGCACGCCGCGCGAAGATCTTGAGCTTTACTTTTCTGACGGGGCCTGCCGCTACTCACTGGCCCTTACCCAGTACGCTACTGTACTATGTACTACACTAGCCTTCAACCCTCCAAGTCAAATCTTTCGAAGTCGAGAATATCGATTCAAAGCAACATCTACTTCACTGTCTCCCACCACTTCCTGTACCCTCACTGCGAAAACCAGCCGTCATCACTGGGGGCGCATTGAGCTATCGTTCAATGACTGGCCGCCATTGCTTCAGGAACAGAACGTGGTCCCGCGAGAATATCACTTTGGTGTGGTGTTCTGCATCACTTGCTCTATCCGTCCCACATGGCTTCAACGCGGCAGAAGTGATGGGCACGCTGGCACGTCGCATGGAACGTATTCGCGAACACAATAGCTGCAGATCCCGACCCCAGCCAGCTCTTCTCCATGTACGCTGCCTGTACGGAGTAATATGGAGTATTAGTGAGGGCGGTTATGAGGCAGTGGGCTCAACGGTCGACGTTCAATCTAATGTCTCGCCGCCAGGGACTACCTATGGCAGTGGGGCTCGAAGTACGCACACCCGCACACAAAAGTCTATCAAAAGTCTAACTAGGTACGGTCAATCTCGCCATTGGCAGAAGCCAGAATGTTTCTCTACCCAACCACCATAGGCTTTTACAACATGGAGCTGAGATCTATCTTTCATCGGCGCGGATGAACTGCACATTGATCACAGCGATGAGGGAGTCTCGTCACTGTGAGTCAGTCGTTCTCAGTGCAGCCATCAATTGGCCAAAATCACAGCAAGAAATCCAACTCTCAATTGATTGTTGAGAACGGTGTGAAGGGACACTTCTCCTCACATAACACAGCGGCTCTCCACAGACCGGCTGACACAACGTTACGTACTTGACCTTATCTCAACCTTTCCGATTTCGATCGAGGCGTTGGTGTACGGCCACGGATGGCCAAGCCCCGGCGGCCTAGCACTGACATGCAGCTGCACCGTCTTGCGGCAACATGCAAAGTGCGGCACGGAAGTGGCAGAGTCAGAAAAGCGCCTCCTCCGGCCGCCTATGTACCTACCTGACTGACCACCCGGCCATCACCCACACGATACTTACCATGCAACGCCCCCGACGTCGAGGAGGTTTACGGCCGTTGCTTGCACTACCTACACCAGACGCCCAGAGTCCGCGTCCTGTTCCCCCGCCGAGTCGCAGCCTTTTCTGATGAGGAGCGCAACGCCATCAGCCGTCTCTGGAGACAACACAAAGGCACCGGCTCTGGCACATGACATCCTTGCCTTGCCTTGCCTTGCCTTGCTGCTCAGGGCTCAAGCAGTCTTCACAAAAGCCTCAGGGCTCCTCTTCGTGTTTCTCGATTGGAATGATGGATGCCCGACATACCCAAGCAGCGCTAATCAGAGACATACTAGTGGTCTACCCCGAGACCTAGTCTCATAAGAAAATGACGAGTCGTCAATCTTCTTTTGCACCTAATGCGTTTTCACCTAGTGGTGCCTTCTTAGCCCTATCACGTTACGAATTCGGCACATCGACCAAACCTTCTTGGGCAGCAGCCGTCACCGCCCCAGCCTTCATAGAAATTCTCAGTTTCTCACATCGGACGTGGCTCCGACATACGGTGCCGTCTGCGCCGTTAACTTTGCACGGGCGCCAGTGGACCATCGACTGCCCTTGCCATGTCCGTGCTTGAGGTCTTATTAACAGCGCCAATAATAAGGAATTAAATACAACCTAACATCAGAGCCTGCGACTGGCTGGTGTACGATCGGCGCTGTTGAATTGCAAAACTGCAAAACTCTCGGGCGGCCGTGCCATTTCAACTGTCTATCACGGGAAGAATACCGCCTGCCGGACAATGCGAGATACCGTGTCGGCTGCCGGCCGAGAAGATCGGCGACCACAGATACGACAACACAAAACCGCCTACGAAAGCAGGCCCGAAAGGATCGAAAAGCGAGAAGAGTTGATGCTAAGGGCATGGATCATACCATATTAGCCGTCAGTCCTGCTCAGTTGCTGGCTATGCTTGGAAACCAAACCAAGCGCACTATACGTCCGGGAAGTCCTCATCGCTCAACCTCTGGATCCTCAAAGCGGTTTCGAAAATCACAGTCTGCTGCAACCCTCTTGTTCTTCCCCTCCCTCCCTGTCAGTAAGTCGCTCGACCATGGCGAACGCAGCTCCGAGCTTCCAGACCGCAGCCACAAAGTGTACGGATAAGGGACCAAACACAGTGTCTTCCAGGCCTTCTCGAACAAATCATTTAGCGGAGACAAGCAAGGATGAAACATCTCAAAGCAACGGGCCCCGTCGATCGCCACTACTAGCTAGCCCTATTCCTCCTCGACTCCGTAGGTATTCGTGCCATTGTCCAGACGCTCATTCTGGCCATCGGCGGCTGGTCAACGGCTTCAATTTCGGGTCTCACCACGCCTAGGGAATTTGCCCGACTTCATTCGTACTGATAACTCAGATTAACACTATTGCGAGGCAAAAAAGGAGACGCCCGGAGAGTTCAATCTCGCAGCTCGAACCTTGTCCGCCGCTCGTGACCTTGCACTGCAGAACTGTCCAAGTCTGGCTTGTGCCTTGAGTTATTAACAGCAACAATTGGTAGGCAAAGAAAGGTCCAGGGTCCAGTCCCCAACGCTGATGGCAGTTGGATGAGGATGCGACGGCACTTTCTTCCAGTGGCACCTTTAACTCCAAGCCGAATCATCCAACGCTGCTGATAACACTAACCGGAAATGACGCTCAGAGCCTCAAAAGGAGGATTCTCTCCATCACAAAACGCACACGTCTTCAGTGCTTTCGTTGGTGAGAACCGCATCCACGCCAATAGCCGGGCCTCAGACTTCCGATGGACGAGGCCGGCGCAGCCTCCCTCATTCATCAATCAAAGCGGGGAGACGACGCTGTCTCTGCAGCTCATGCATCCAACGGCCACCTGTCCATCCACTCGATGCCTGCAGCGTGCGATCCTCTCTTGCGGCCTCCTTGTTCTCTCGCTTGCTCATGCATGCCGCTGCAGATCAAGCGGCCTGCCCGCCTCTAGTCCCAACCATCTGACCCATCATTCATTCAGTTAGTTTTATTTTGATGCGTTGGCGGTTTTGCCAGACCGCCAGCAACTGGTTCTACGTCTTTTCACTTCTGGCTCTTGGCTCCTGCGCATCCTATGCCACCCGATATGGGCTCTCGCTCAAAGAAGTCTACGGAGTAATACATAAGATGAATCGCAGGTGTTTTTGGCTGACAATGCCAATGTTCGTCAAGGCCGGTCGCCTACGCACTGCGGATACACAAGTCGAATACTCTTCACAGTGAGCGAGGCAGAGGGAACGCAGGTGGCTGGCGGCACTGACCTTGTCCACGGTTAAGAGCTTATTCACGCGTACTCATAGATGAAGAAGGTTAACGACACAAGCCACAATCGCCCGGCTACCGATCTGATAATTACACCTTGTCCGGGCTTCCACGGGGTTTGTCAACGAAGGGTCTGAGAAAACGGACTACCTAGGATGGACGTACCGGTCTGTATCTATGCCTACACACAACCCGCTATAGGGCGTGTCTAGCCAGTGTGGTGATAATCGGTGAGCGCATCAGTCAACTCTGCTGAACACATTATTACCCCGCAAACTTGTTGGTTACAGCCAACTGATGTTCTGACGCAGCAGAAGCCCAGTCAGTCTCCAATCGGACCGTCTAACTAGAAACGGTCAAATGAGAACACAACGAGACGGGCAGCCTGTCAATTGTAACGAACGAGCTGCCCGGCTCCCTCCGCCCGGAGCAACCGGGGCAAAGTCAGGCAACTCATTGAGACGATTAGTAGAGGTGCCCGCGAAACAGTTGATACTGGTGTCAGGGAGACCCCCGTTCTCTCAAGATGCGCCAGTCCACCCTGACCAAAGCAGCTCGTACACCTATTTCTCCGAATTCTACGAAGTAGAGGTACATAGGTACAGCCTATAAGTCGTCAGGAAGTCTGCAAGTTGCCAACGATAAAGCGTTCATCAGCCCTGTGTTTCCATGAAAGCGGCAGCGCCATTGAGTTGACCCTCCAAACGCTGACCCCTTATTCGGTGGCGGCAAGCTCTCTGGGCGGGCAGCTGAGGGTTTATGATGCAAGTTCAAGTCGGCCAAGTCTTCCGGTATCATCGCGGCCGCGAGTATAGCGGGCGGAAACGGCTTGGAGAAGATGTGTCCTGGTGGAGCTCCTATTGCAAACTCGGTCCCATGTTGCGGCAAGCAGAAAAGGGCAGCTTTACCCTGGTTCACGTTGGGAGTTCACGAATTGAACACGCAATGCAGCTCATCGGCAGGGCGACAGGGTGAGGACTGGGTACCAGACCCGAAAACCACGGTGAAGCATCTTCAGCCATACAAAGACGTCGCCAGCACCCACACGCCCGAGTTTGTTCAGAGAACGGCGACATGCATATTGGCCGCTGCGCGGTTTGCGATATCCCATGACGAGCGGCAGGTTTCTCCGAGTTCGATGCGGCGCCATGTCCGATCTCAGAGAGACTACATTCCACTCGCGCAGGTGGGCAAGAGTGGCCTTGCGTATCAGGAAAGTCATCAATCTGACGTTTGACACTGCATGTTGTCGCTCATAGCCTTAAAACACGCGCATTGCGGCATGCTACCTCCGTCCGTGTTGGAACTGACTTGCAAATGTAACAGGGCTCAGTGCACTGAGCAAGCAGCATAGGTGCCGAAGCACATGTAGGAAAAAGCATTTTGTTCCTCCTTTGGCCAACCTGCAGTAAGTAACTCTGCTCCTTCTTCAGCACTCGTTCTGGATAGCACTCGGTACTCAAGTCGATCCGCGGGACGAAGCGACTACGCGTACGTGTTCGAGAAAATCCAGGAGGAACCTTGGCCGAATTGCAGCGTCGACAAATTAAAGTGTCTGAGGACGACGCACGAGCGCTGCTTGACTCCTAACTAGGCTTTTACTTGCAAGCTCATTATGACGGGGCAGAGGCCACTTTGAAGCTCTGATCGATCTGAAGTTCTCTTCACAGTGTGGCAGCTATCCTACGAAATCATCTCTCATCTGCATGTAAACCTCCCAGGGGCCACCCATCCACACCAACAGCTTCCCTAGCTGCACCGCTTACATGAGTGGCAGCGTCCCCTTGAGAGGTGCGATACAGTCATTTTTTGGGAGGGAGAAGGGCCTGCAACAAGGCGGATCCTCAATAGAATCGGTTGGCAGCCTACGAGCTGTCGTATGTCGACAAAGAACGGGACACGCTGGAGTAGGAGGCAACGAATCAACACAAGCGAGCTCCATTGATTCACGGCACCTGATCTCGTGATGCTGCCTCGGCGGTTAGGCGAGCAATGCATGTGCCGGATCGTCTTTCGTTGGGGGGCTATCGGCTTGTACGATGCGGAGATGATCGGGGGCCGACCGCTGATGGAACGCCGCCTCCTTTTGCATCCGGCGCCGTCGACAGCCTCACACGCACGTGGGAGACAACTGATGAAGCGCGCGCGGGGGAGCTTCCGCAGTGATTTATGAGTTTAGAGCTCAGTGAGCTGCGTCGTCTTTACGAAAACAACTTGGCCCTGTCGCGCGGTTTAGAGTTTGGGGACCCTGGCCATTGACGAATCCAGAGTCAGAACAGGGCCCGTCTTGTTCGCGCAGTGCGCGCACACGATGTTGCAAGAAACTCCGCGCGCTTCCGCCAACGACCCATCAATCACATACTCAGGACGGAACCGTCTAGTGGCAGTTGGCACCGAGTCACCCACAGCACGCAGGGGATACCGATCGCTAGCTGCAGCTCGAACTATAGACGGATGCTACATTTTTGCCCTGACATACCCACGCGTTCAACCGACACGCCGTATTGCCTCTAACGCGAAGTTAAAAAAAAAAAAAAAAAAAAAACGGCGAATTGTTGAACACGCCATTGCCGTCGCGATTCACGAAGAAGGGGAGGGGCCCGGGGCCGAACGGGGCATATTCTCGAAGCACGAAGTACAGACATACTATGCATCTTGTCATCGCACATGGGGCTGCATATCCTCTTCGTGGGGATGGCCTGATATCTGCTGCCCTTCCTCGAGTCTCGTGTCTCGTGTCCTGAATGACCCGCCGGAACAAGAAGGAAGCAGGCTGCTGGAGTCTGGACAGTGAGTGAGTGAAAACAAGAGAGAGAGAGAGATGCCCCTGCTCTCTTCCTTCGCCTAACCTCTTAGTCAACTTGTTTCTCCCTGTAATCACGCTACGCGCAGAAAGACGGCCGGCCGCCCGCCAAGTATTCGCGGAATCAGCGCTGCCAGATCCGGAGTGGGGAGCGCTCTCCTTTGTGGTTTAGAGCTATCATGGCTGCCATGTGGAATTGACTGACTAGCGACGGGGACAGGCTGGGAAGTTGTGGCTTTACGATTTGATTTGATTTTTTCTTGCTCTCGAGGGGTTGGTGGCTATCGTCTGCTAGCGTCCGCCCACTCAGAGCTTCCACTCGAACTGGGGATGTTCATCCGCTCATCGGTGCGATCGCCCTATTCGGGATGCAAAACCCGTCGATTTCGTTACAGTAGCAACGAGCAACGGAACAAGTTTGGTGGATGGGGGGAAGAACAGACGTGGTCAACCGTCAACAAGTGTTCTTCATCTCGTTTCAACCCCGTAAAGTCGCTCCCCTATCCTCTGAAGCTCGCCTGGGATCGGTTGACTTGCAAGAGGTTGGAGTACAAGCTTGGCTGTTCTGATCGGAAGTGCCATGTGGTTTGTGGCAGGGCTATCCATGAGCGGCCGTCTTCGAGACGATTCTTTGTCGATATTGCTCTCCCTCGCTCAATTTACCCTTTTTCTCCCTCTGGAGTTTCTCCTCTCCCCCACCGGGACAGAATTGCTGTGGATACAGACTACCGACCCGACCGTATCCGACCTTCCAGAGGCCGCGTTGACGAAGAGTAAAGACCAAAACTAAAATTGAACCTAAGCTTCCGACGCGGACGGGAAGCAGCAATGCCCGCGTCGTTCGGCGCCTTGCTTCATCCATGGTTCGGAGAATTGTTACCATACTTGGTACGTACGCGCCGCATCGCGATCACGCAAGCCCGCGCGTCCAGCAGCGGCTCTATCGTATCGTGGAAACATGCATGCATATCTACTGTGTGGTAGTGATGGTTACTCCATACGCCGGCAGCCGACTCTTTCGACCAACAGGCCTCGACAAGTTACAGGTCACAACACGTCGCAACAGCAAGACCCTATCCGCAAGGATCCCAATTCGCCAACTCGGACTTCATGGGGAACTTTGCTTTCTCTCCTTCCTCTCACATGCGTGAGAACATCTCCCATCCCGCGCAGTCATGCAGATCCCATCGGACGTACCATTTTCCTAAAACGGGAGCCGGCCATTGGGGCCCGCTGAGTACCACTCCTTGCCCAGCTTACTTACGGAGACTTGGGTGTTGGAACACTCGTTCAGAGTCTCTTTCTCTCTCACACCCCTGTTCCAACAGCGCCAGCAAAGGGAACAAGGCCTGCTTCGGGCGAAGAGTCGCAATGTGGATGATGTGTCCGGTCTCTTTTTTTTTTCTCTCTCTCTCTCTTCTGATCGACCGGTGAACCTTTGAAGAGGGGGTGTAAGCACGGCACGGCTCGGCCTGGTAGCTTGACTTTTTCCCCCCTCGACGTGCGACATGCAACATGGTACCTACTAGTACTTGGTAGTCAGCCATCTGCTTTTTCTGTGACGAGTCTGACCAAGTTATGAGAGTTGTTTCGGTAAGTACGAAGACCTGGGGGTTCGGACTTTCGGTCTGCTGCTTGAGGCTAGCGCTCCGTTGGCACATCTTCCACGTTTTGAGGCGCAAACAATTGTACGATGATGATGTGAAGGCGCGCATGAAATGGGCTCAGAATGATGATGTTCTTTGGGTAGCTTGCGACGCCTCCTGTTGGACCGTAAAGTCTATAGCCAGTGATGTCTTGATTCTACCTTGCACACGGAGTAGTCAACGGATCTAATCCAATCATGGTCACCGAGACCTCTCATCTACGGCCACAGCTCAATCTTCTCCCACCCATTCACCCTCTCCGCACCCTCCGTCTCCTTCCCCTCGGCCTCGGCCCCGACAAACCGGTACAGATACCGTCTCGGGTCCTCCGAGGCGCTCAAGTCCGTCTGATCCACCTCGGTCGGCACAATCACCACGACCCGGAAATTCTCCCTCGCGACCTCGTCCTCCAGGTCCTCGACCTTTTGCCCCAGCTTCAGCGTGTCCGAGGGCGGGTTCGCGGCGCGGGACGTCCCCGGGACCGGGTTCCGGAAGGTGCCGCGCATCATGGGCGATAAGTTTCCAAAGTGCGCCGTGACCTCGCGGGCGAAGGACCAGTCCTGTTCCGAGGTGCCGATGACGGTTTTGCCGGAGGGGATGTCTTGTTCGCGGCGGCGTTTGGCGTCTGCTGGGGTGACGGTGCGCATGCGGGCTAGGAGGTGCTCGCGGAGCGCTTTGGCGCCGGAGGAGGAGTCGATGTCCGGGCCGAGGAGGAAGGCTTCGCCGCGGATGCGCCATTGGACTTTTGCGTCGGTCCAGAAGCATGCTTCTACGGGGCCGCCGCCGCCTGATTTTTTGATGTCGTCTTTTTCTCCGTTGGAAGTTAGGAAGTCGGGCACTTTTGCCATGCGGGCGTCGGTTGTTAGGGTCAGGAGGTCGGATTCGTAGAGGGGCGGGTTGAGGTCTGCTGTGTTTTTTGGGTTGACTGGGAGGGAGGCCCAGAGGCCGCGGAAGATTACGGTGCGGAGGCGGGGGGTGAGAGAGGAAGAGGATGAGGAGGAGGAGTGGATTGTTGCGAGGTTGAATTCTGGTGAGGCCATGTCGTTTACGTTTTTGAGGAAGGGGGCGCGCCAGGGCGCTGGGCCTGGTGAGGCTTTTGCTGTTGATGGGGAGGAGGACATGTTGCGCGGTGAGCTGGGTGAGGATTGGAGGTGGTGGGTTAGTTGGGATATGCGGCGGGTGGAAAGGGTTCGGATGGTCATGAGTTTATGGGTTGTGATGGATTGTGATGAATGGCCGATGGACGGGGATGAGGTAGGTTGTTTTATGAGTGAAGTTGAAGGGTGAGGAATGTCGTGTGAGGTTTTTTGAGGTTAGGTGGTTTTTTTGGTCTATGATTCATCATTGGGCCACATGGTGAGTCGCGCCAGCCTTCACGTCTGTACTCGATATTGGTATTTTCAATCATTAAAGCACTTTGATGAGACTTTATTGAAGACTTTTTATATGACATATATAGCTAACTTGATCTCGGGTGCTGACAGCAACGAAAGTTATGGGCAGGTTGCGAGCTTTGGCGGGGTCGTTGAGAAATACCCCGCTGTCGTCATGACGTCGATGAGGCCGCGGAAGAGGGCGCAAGTCGACAGACATGCTGTGTTCATTCGTTCGCTTTTTGATTTGTCTGGGTTTTCTGAACCGATGATGAATCCATGAAGAATTCCATGTAAGTTGCCCTCCTCATAGCTGTCATATATTCGATCCAACCCGCCGACCATGGGTGGAACGATGTGTCGTACTTGTCAGGATGCAGTTCAGTCTCCTTCCACGCATCGAATGACTTGTCCGACACTCTGCACGCCCGTTTAAATCGAAGGATTGACGATGCAAACTCCGAGGGGCTGTTACAATGGTGTTTAGTCAAGTAGAGGCAGCTGGCACAAATAGCATAGAAATGCAAACGTACTCCGTGAGCGTGAGGTCTTCGACCGATCTCTCTTATGCCCTTCAAAGACATTCATCAACTCCAGGGTTGGAGTATCCTTCGTACTGCAACTTCATCAAATGTATGGTAGCTGCTTCTAAATTAAGCGCGATGGGCCAGATATGGTCTTTGCCATTGTCAGAGGCAGTCAACGGGGCCGTAAGAAGGTAATGCATCACAATATCTCCGCCTCCGGCTTCTGTCTCCTTGATAAATTGACGTACTGCTTGAAGGCGGGGAAATGGTTTCTCTGTCCAAGTCAATGGAGCCATGAGCCCTAAACACGGGGTGCATTGTTAGCTTCCATCAAGTCACAAGAGAAACTTACTATACTTCCAGGGGAGCCCTTTTCACTTACTCGACATAAGAATCCCAGAGATGCGATACAAAGTCTTGCCCTTCTCAGATTGCCACTTACCCTCTACCTTTGGGTACGTGTTAGAGCCCTCGCCCTCGTCGGAGCTATCGTCTGAATTCTTAGCAGGAATGATGTGCCCTTCCTGGCATTTCTGAAGCCTGCGGAGGCTTCTCTTCAGGCTGGCAAGTTCCTCCTCCAACTCGTTGCTTCCTGCGAGATCGCGTGCCAACATCACCATCGCGAGTTCAAAGATAAAGGTTGTCGCCCTAGTAAGGCTGGCTAAGTGGATTTCTTTATCATTAGATGTCTCTTGGGCGTCTGACTCCAAGATTGTGAGCTCGTTATTGTGTTGGTTAGCATTCTTGCTATCATTTGATAACTCCATCTTTTGCAACGTGACGTGGGAAGATGGCGAACATAGGATAGACCTAGATTGAAACACATGGTAATGACGAGCGAGAGAAGATTAAATATCCATATGAAGGTTCACTGTTCGCTGTTCTTTGTCAAAGAGTCTGGATACCTTTGGTCCATGAATTCTCAGATCACAATAACGCTGTTCATGTCTTTGTTGAAGACATCATCTGACATGGTCCACCTCGCTAGCCCCTCGCGGTTACCAGTGATGCTTTCCTATGTGTTATCGAACCAGACGCTCCATAGCAATCTGACTTGTAGCTGGGTCATGGGCTTTGGCGGGGTTGTCAGGGCGATACCTCGAGCATTCAGTGACCAGAGACCCCGATTGATAGAATACTGAGATATCTACATGTATAATTCAAAGAAACCAAACACCTACTGTATTCAAGGGCCAAGCAGTCAGACGTCTTCTTCATTTAATCGCGTTTGAGGCCTTACAACATCTAAACTCTTTCCAACACGCCATTTAGTCTTATATTTGGCGGCGAGACCAAATTATCTTCAACTTAGACCGCAACGCCATGAGCATAAGTACACGATTGAAATCACTAAAGCCAGATTTCCCCGTCAATTTCTGTCATCAGCCTACGAGAGGGCCGTCTACTATTTAAGCCTCTATCTCGCCCTCGCCGACGTCATGACGCTCGGGTTCGTACAAGTCATGCCCTACCGCGGCGAAAATCTTGCCTACTCTCCCAAAGATTTCCCTAATCGTCCGATCTCGAATGCGCTGTGACTCCTCATCGATGACTTTGGTGCCTTCTTTGTCCTCGCTAGAGAGCGGGTTCGGAGCCGCGTACCACGCGCCGTTCACTATAGCCGCCTCGTGTTCCTTTAGGAGTTTCGCATCTTCCCGCTCAAGCCTCCGAGAGTGTCAGCCAAGTGAAAACATATTTAGCGGCAGAAGACAGATGATAGAGAAATGTCAACATACTTCCCCTCACGAAGCTTATTTAGCATGCGGCTGAGGGCCTTTTCAGAACCTTCATCTTTTATTCGTTTGAACTGCAAAAACTCCAAGGAGATGGTGTATGCTGCTAAGTTTGTCACCCTGATATTGAAGTCTTCGTGGGCAGCATCGGACTCTATAGCCAAAAATCCGTGATTGTATCCCCACTCGCGTGCATCTCGTATCAGTCCATAAATTGTGCTGTCTCCGCCGTTCCTCTTTGCCTCCTGCATCAACTCGAGCGTCTCGTTGTCTTTTTCGTCTTCGGCCTTCTCGGTATATTGATCCTTTGCGCTATCATCGGGGCCCTTTCTGTGCCTTTTGAGAAATCGCACCAGTGGCTTAACTTGTTTGAGTTCCCCCGGTCTTTGCTCCATGTTGAGCCCTATGCACGGGGTAAGATGATTAACTTCCATTAATCTTCAAAAAAAACCGTTCAAAGCTCCAGAGGGGCCCTGGTACGTACAGCACATGAGCTCGTATGCAATTCCGCTCAAGACATTGAACCTTGCCGTATGCCACTCATGCGGCAGCTCCGAATGCCCGTCGGAGCATTGATAATCATTGTGACATCTTTTAAGTCTCGCAAGGCTCCCTTCTAGACTCCTTAGCTCTAGATCGTATTCAACGGAGTATTCTATTTTGAGCTCGCGTGCCAAAGTCTTGGTGGTGAGCTCAAAGATGACGATCATTGTTCTCACTACGCGGGATAAAGGACTGATTTGTGTGAGAGATGTCTTTTGAACCGTGGCTCCCTCGAGTGAGAGTAAGCGGTCATACAGTTCCTCGGCATGGAGGATGGAATGCGACTCCATCTTTGGTGATGCGAGTGACGAAATCAAGATAAGGAGCTAACGAAACATGAAATCGGGATGGCGAGGGAAAACAGGTCAAATACATTTGGGGGCTCACTGTTCTCCTTTGTTGCAGAGTTTAAGTGTTTTTTGGACGATTGATCAAACCACAGTAGTGCTGTTCTAACATCTTTGTTGATCTATGTTCTTCTTCAGATCACAGTGACGCTGTTCGTGTGTCTTTGTTGCTCGACGTTACCTGACATGATCAACCTTAGCAACCCCGGCGGCAAGCAAAAGTACTTTCCCACACGCACAACCAGCTTGGGCCCAGATTCGAACGACAACGCGACTTGCGGCTAGGATGTGAGCTTTGCCGGGAGTAGCCAGGGAGAGACCTCGCTGGCGTCAAGACGCTGGCGATTTTGAGGCTCAAGCAATGGATAAGTTCTCGTATCTCGTGGGGAAACCTCAACAGCGCAGCCTGGCTCTCTTGACCAAAAGCTGCCGCGTTTGCCACGTTTCTCTAAAGTCCGGTTCAGCTACCTTCACCAGAGGCCCTTTCAGAAAATAATGCACCAAGAATAGGTAGCCTCGACTGTGGTTTCAAACTGGGCATCTGATTGCTTCACCTCAGATGAGTAAGGTATCCTATATATACTATACTATGACATCGACTTTTGCATTAATTCATCAAGTCACCGAGGTCCATTGGACTTGGACTGCGAAATCTGTGCCGACAGTTGTCCCGACGCCATTATAAACAGTTCAAGATCTTGCTTACTTGAATCGACCCTTGAAGCGGCGAACTCTGCCCGCCCCAGTGACGTTCCCATTGAATCTGAACTACTTGGATTGTTCTCTCTCTCACGAAGAGCGGATAACTTTTGGATGGATTTACGCAGCATTTCTGGCGTTATTTCGGGAGCCTCTGCGTCTTCCTCCTCCTCTTCTTCATGGTTAGAAAGTCTGGAGACTGATCAGACAAGTGTGAACCCATGTATGAATGATATACGGGAGACATGAAAACGGAAACCCACCCATTCTCACGAACTTGAAATAGCGCCTTTCCCACTACCTCTGCGAGAACTTTTGGGTCAAACTTTTCCTGCGGTATCATCCGACTCTCTTGTTGCATTAGAGACAGTTGCCCTCTTTCGATCGTGTTGAGAGCACGGTTGGTGGCCGTCTTCTCAGAAGGGGGGTGCAGCTGTATCAAAGATGCAGCGTTGTCAGCCAAGCTTCGGATGATATGATTGATTTCATCTTTGCGACCCTTGAGTGGGATGATTGTGGACTCTCTATCTCCGTCTCCATATCCATCTTCTGCCCGTTGGAGCCATGTATGCAAATTCTCAGTCTTGGTCTTAAGAGAGTCTGGAAGTGGCCTTTTTACCCAGAGTGACCAAAGAGACGGAGATATAAGCCCTGTAAATAGGATTAACTAGTAAGCTTCTATCGATATATTACAAAAGACACTATTGTTAATAAGTATATAACATAGGGAAGAAGCTCATAGAGGCTAATTACTATTAAAGTTTAAAAAATAAATTATTAAAATTTACCCTTTTTTTAAAATATATTACTAATACTTTATATATACCTAAGCTACTCTTTTATTACTTAGTCCCCTTTTTTATACCCCTTAAACTATTCTTAAATTAATAAGGTTTAAT